TTAGTTTGTTTTTTAATCCCCCCCCCCATTAAGGATTTAGAGGTCTTTAAAGGCTGAAAATTAGGAAGCAAGCATTGACTTCCATTATAACATAAAAAGTGCAAAGCTCCGTAGACAGTGCGCGTCACAATTTCGCAATGATTTTTCAAAACAAAGCAGAAAACAAACTACAAAACCTTACGATAGATTTCGAAATGCTAAGCCGAGACTAAGCATGAAAACGAGCGAAAAAAATCACAAAAACCTGACCCACGTACTGCCAGGATCAGGCATTTATCAAAGTCCCTACTTTAAACTCTAAACACAACCTGCTAAATAAAGAGCTATAAATATTGAAAATGTTCCCAAATTGTATTAAAACCCATTTTATTTTTTGCAGCTAAATCGAATAAACAAATTATACCAACTTTGTTCAAACTGGTTGAGAAATAAAGATGTTATGCAATTTTATTGRAATAAAAAAGAGGCAAATTTTGGAACTGATTCAGATTATAACATTAAAATACAGTTTAGAGTCGACGCTCTTTTATGAAAGTTGCTCATAATTTAGAAAACAGTTTACACTAAAATATTTTACATACCTACTAACAGAGCTAACTGCAAGACATCAATAAGTGCCAGTGCTGATGTTCAGATGCTAAGGCTATCCCCATTTCAACACCTCGCGTAACCCTTAGCTTAGCTAGCATTGTTGCACTCCAGCAACACGGTCCGGGGTTCGATTCTCTGCTAGCACCCTTTCTGTGGGAATTTTTCAAGTTCTTCTCATTCATGCGCGAGTTTTCTGCAGGTATTCAGTTTCCTCCACATTTAAAAATATGCATATTAAGTTGATTGAGGACTCTTAGGCTGTATCTCAAGTCATTAGTTGAAGCCGACGTAGACCGCGGCCGACGCTGGCCACAGTCTACGTGGGCTGTAGGCCGCTCGTGTCGGCTGCGTAAACGGCCGTGAAATGAGATGCTCTACCCTACAGAAGATGTACGTTTGCGTGACCATGCACTGCCTCATTACCATACATTTATATTGTTTTTTTCAAGGTATAACTTCATAAAATTTAGCTTGAATAGGAAAAACATTACAAGTATATTAGTGCTGGGCGTTATGACCTCAAATTCATATCACGATACAAACTGAATCCCTTTACATTAATGGTATATAT